GAGGCAGCATCGCCGCAGGACATTTAATCTGCGCATCAGCAAGGTTCAAGCGCAACGTATAGGTGCCACTCAGCCACACAAGGATGCTTTTGGCTACCGCCCACGTCACGGTAGGAAAACCGATTAATGGTCTGCAGGCAGTCATAAACGCGCTCGTCGATCAAGGATCTGAGGCAACCCTCGTATCTGAGCACGTCGTGCAGTCCATTCATTCAAATCGGAAAGGCATCCAAGTATCTATTTTTGAGGTGGGTCAAAGAACTGTTCAGCGTTGCAAATATACAATAAGTTTCGAAAATATAAATCATAATAAACCCCGTTTCTCTTTAGATGTAACCTCAGCATATTTCCTTAACTCGGTTACTTCACATTTGCTCGGTTACTTCTCACAGCTGTTGCAGATGATCTGGAAGTGCTAGGCCCTGCACACTTCTTGATAGGTTACTCATTGTTGGAACGGTTCTTAACCCAACAGAAAATGATACGCCATTTTTGGAAAGCTTGGAGTCGTGATTGGCTGGCTCATCTACAGCAAAGACCAAAGTGGCGCCAAGGGTCAGAAAGCTTCCAGCTTAACGATCTCGCACATATCAAGAATGACCGTCTTCCGCCGTTGCAATGGCTACTCGGGCGTGTTATTGAGCTACATCTAGGGACAGACTATAGAGGGATAGCGAAAAGAGCAACTGAGCGAGAGAAAACAGTCTGCAAATGCGAACGACAGAGAACGCACGGCTCCGGTATAACAAAATTTTACATATTACTTTGTACAACCTGAAGTTTTGAATAATTACAATTGTCTTGAAATCTATTGTCCGCGTTTGCAACCGACCAGGAACCTCTCCTACAATGACTTCATGTTGAGCCCAATACAGGAGTACAAAACTTAACAGCTTTTTTAACGTAGGCGGTCGTATCCAAACTTTGGGTTTTTGTCGGAGAAAATTTTAGAACGTCTGTTCTGTTTGCCGCTCGTTTGAAAAATACAAAATATTTCTGAAGTCGCGTGCTTCTAGCTTTTTAGCAACTTGGAAAGTCTCGTACGCAAGTCATAGATTAGCATTTCAAAACTGGAAGTGCGTTCCAATACGGCTAACTTTCATAGACCGATTACTGCTTCATTACATAACCATAAACCTTTCTACAAAATTAGAAAGTTAGACGGAAAAGGGAATTTTAGACTCGAATGTCTTTACCCGAATAGGAGCCTACTAATTGGATTTGCCAATCTTCAAGAATATATGTACATGCTCAATACAACCTTCTTTCTAATTCGAGATTTGATAAAGACCGGGCCCTGTTTCGCATTGAAATTCTTACTTAAACTGCCTTGACCAAATTTTCGCCAAAAGACTTTCTGTGCAACTTTAAAGTCAACAGGTATTGCTCTTAAGCTCTATTGCCTGGTATTAGCTTCATGTGCCTTGTTTTTTCTGGACTTTAATTTTCGCGCATTAATGTAAGATAATCATCTTGATCTAAACATAAAGTTGAGTCGTAAAAAGCACTTTGGTTGCGAATAACTGGTATGTGGATCCATGGGCAACCATGTTTAGACCAAACAGAGCAAAATACGGGGATTTTTTAATCGATGAGTGAATGCTGTTTTCAAGTGCACAACTTATACTTGTCAGATTCATATCCCATTGAGTACGATCATTCTTTAAGTATGTCCAAATTCTTGATATCAATGATCGATTGACACGCGCACTAGCGTTAGACTGAGGTGTGTATAAAGCTGTATAAACATGACTTATATCTGGTGAAATGAGAATTGCATTTAACTCTGAACACTTAAATTGTGATCCGTTATCACTTACAAAAACTTCTGGTACACCGTACATGGAAATATGACTCGACAGAAAATATTTTCACGAAATAGCTCTACAGTTTTTCCTATTCCTCCTGCTTCTTCTGAATCAAGTTCTCGACCTACCAATTGTGAGTTTAACTGTTGAGAAACCCATAACTTCCAGGATATGCTTTCTTATCCTTGCAACTACAAATTTTTTCCCCTATTTCGAGTTCGTGCTAGAATTTTTGGCTAGACCTTGTTCGTTTTTTAAGAAGCTAATTTAATTAATTAAATCAGGTCCTGAATCTACTATTGTATTATTTTTTTCCTGGTTTTCTCAATTTAGCAATTCCATTTAATTTCAAAAAACCATTGTTAAAAGTTTTAAAATGATTATCAGTTTATTTAACTGGAGCGGATGTATTTTCCGCTTCCAGCTCTCAGGAGTTTTCTGTGTCTTACAAATATACTTAGAAGCTAAAGAGCTCTGAGTCTCGTAGCTGCGCTGCAAAGAGAGGCAGCGGAGAGACGGTTATGTATTCTTAAATATAAAGCTATGCTCACTTAGGCTGGAGCGCGGAGGTATATGCACATACATGAAGTCCGCTCGTGATACAGTTATGCTGACACTTGCACTTTCTGTGTGCGGGCCAAGGCATAGCGATCGGTTCGTATTTCGGTCTCTTGGGCTTATAACCTGGACTTTAAATTATGTAAACACTGCAACAAAGTGTTACAGTGTGTTCCCTTTTAGTACTCTTGGTACAGTGCTCGATATATGTGCATACTACATCTCTGCTGAAAAAGAAAAAATACCCTAATACTGCTGAATTCCTTTTTTCGCCTCCTTAAATATTGTAGAGGTCCAATCGAGCCCACCCTTCCTTTGATCGCTCCACCTGCTCAATAGCCTTAGCGACCCCTTTCCTTAAGCGCTACCCTACATCTGCATGGTACTAGCTGCGGCCAATCTCATTTTTTTAAAACATTATAAAAGTTTATAAACAGCTAACAACATTCTTAACACTAGACATAAGAATATAAATACGACATATATCTAAGTAATATATATATTAGAGTTTATTAATGTTAAATGTGGAAAATGCGTAAATTAACTCGTAATCTTTCTTTCTTTATCTTAATGAAATCAAGGCTTAGGCCAATGGGAAGGGGAATTTAGTCCGCATAAAAATAAATAATTTAAAAACGAATAAAAATTACGACTGCAGAACAATTATCCCGTGCGATTGAGTCGGTATCAAAATTGAGCTATTTTTTTTTACATTAGAGTGCTTTGGATTTCACTCATTTTTTTTCTTTTTGCTCATTCTCTATCACCGTTTGATGTTAAAATATTATAATTTTCATTTTTATTTTCCTTTTCGAACCCGATTATATATTTTCCTGTATGATATGGAATACAAATTGGGTTTTCTCACTCACCGATAATTAAGGCAATCCATCGACGTAAGCGCTTTCCTCGGGATGCGATGAGCTACAGGGGTTAAGAATTTAAGTACAAAGCAAAAAGAATTTTTTTTCACAATTTGGGGATTTTCTACACTCATAGAAATATCTTCTTCAAATCTAGTAAAATCTAGCCTTTTTCTCGGCCACAATAGTCCACTCCGGAATTTAAAAATGGAGGTGCTTGTGTGACTTGTTCGGCTGGCAGGTATCTGTTGCATCAGCTTGGGCCTTGCTCTGGTGCATCTTACACAGCTGTGAATTATGCTTCTGGCCATGGTCTTTTCGTTGAGAATCCAGTAGCCCGTAGGGCCACAGCTCCGCATGCCTGTTTTCTTCATGCATCTCCCATAGCAACATCCTTGCAATCGGAACATTTGATGCTTTGATACGTAAGGACGTACTAAATTTTTCAACCCGCCTCCGACTCTTCTTAAAGCATCCTCGTCCAATACAGGAGATAATGATACTATGCGGGTTTTCTTGTCCACCGTTTTATAACGTTGTAGTTGTTGTAATTCTGCAGAAAACTCTATTTGTTGTATGGTACGCAGTTGAGCTCTCCTGTGGTTACAGTTGACGTTGTTTTTCTGTTTGGTTGGTGGCAAAAACGCAACTTATATGTCAATTATTATTCGCTGCAATTTATGGAATGAATTGCTGCGCTTGCAGGTATAGAGTTCTTGTCCAATTATGTTTGCTGAAATTTGCAAGCTTATACATTTTTGATTTCTTTCCAGATCGCTAGGACTAAAGGACGGAGCGGTGGGCCATTGGCTTGTTGACCCGTGCAAAAAGAGGGGTCCGTAGAACAGATTATGATCGCCTAGTTTGCTGGAGAGGATACCTGGTGATAGGAAATCTGCTGCTTTGTTCGCGGATGATACGTTCTTGACTTGTTACTGCCAGAATTTTGGCAATTCTATTAGCACAAACGTATGGTATGTTGATGACGCTGCAATAATCCGTGTCAATACCCCCATGGAATCACTCCAGAAGTATCCTGTAATGCAAGAATTCAAGGACATGTCCGATCTGACCCTGTCGGTGAGTTTGGCTCCTAACACCGCAGCACTCAGTTCCAATCGAGGCAGGGTCTGCTGCTGAAAACTGGTTGTTTTTGTAATTTGCACAAATTTAAATTGCCGCCCCATATTGGTGTTGTTATCCCATTTAATATGCGAGACTGGTCAACGTGAGCTATCATGCGCTTTATCGATTTCAAAAATTTGTTTGTTAATGATCTGAGGCAACTTTGATATGGGGTCTGCTGCACCTTAGGGGCTACTCTTGACTTCGAGCAGAGTAGTAAAACTGAAACCTGGTTGTTTTTGTAATTTGCACAAATTTAAATTGCCGCCCCATATGCTCATTCCGATGCATCAACAAAGGTGTGGAGCTCTTGAGTCACTGGAATTTCTCTTTTAAAGACATATCGATGATAATTTACCTTGTCGTCAATGCTAACGTCGCTTACAATGTCCTCTTTTGAAATTCCTTCTAATATTTTTGTGTTGTTTGAGAACCATTTGCGGAGCTTGTACCCAACTGGAAGTTGAATTTTATTCAGTTCATCGCGAACCTGAATAATTTCATCAACTGTATCTCCTCTTGTGAGACAGTCGTCCACGTTAAAGTCATCTCGAAGCGTGGCTTATCTCAACGGATACTTATCCTTTCGTAACCGCGCTAAATGGTTTAAACATTTTGTTGCTAGAGACAGAGCAGATGTATGTAGGAATTAGGAATAAACCAGAAGAGCAAGAACAGAGAAACACACGGAGTGGACGTCAGTTCTGACAACACAGAGAGAGATCGCTAATGTATGCGTGCGTTTAACAGATCAAGAGAGAAAAACTCTAATAAAGTCAGTTGATGCCGAAATCTCACGCTAAGCAGTCCACAGAGACACACTCCACTTTGTAAACTCGTTAAAGTTTAAAACACCACACAACACTCAGTTTGTAATTAACTCAAATATATAATAATAAATAAAGCATTAAAATAATAAAACTACGTCGTCCTGGAAGTAATTCGCACTAACAGAACTCCTGGGGCCACAAATTTGGGGGCTCAGCCGGAATATTTGGAACTATTACAAACCTAAGTCACTAAACTTAGTTGAATATTACAAACCTAAGTCACTAAACTTAGTTGAATATTACAAACCTAAGTCACTAAACTTAGTTGAATATTACAAACCTAAGTCACTAAACTTAGTTGAATATTACAAACCTAAGTCACTAAACTTAGTTGAATGTTAAAAACCTAAGTCTCTAAACTTAGTCGTGTGGTAAAAAAGTGGAAAAAACTCTGTGAATTGTCGTTGCAGACAGTTATAAACTAAAGCAAGTGTGCTGCGCAAAAAAAAAAAAAAAAAAAAAAAAAACAAATTTGCAAAGCAGGGCAGCGTGAGTGAAAACGAGACAGCAAGTTTGCGCATCATTCGAGCAGTTGTGAAATTCGTTTTTGGCGCAACGAATGAAAGAGGCAAGAAACTGACAAAGAAGGCGATTGAACAGCGAGTACCATTCTGGAGGCAGCGAAAAGACTTTGTGGTGAACGTCAACAAGCAAGAGGCAGGATCGTTGGCGGTGGTCATCTGGACAAAGTGGAAGGCGTGGAGCAGAAACAGTAGCAAGCGGATCGCAGAAGTTGTGCGTCAGGAGAAGGCGAAGACACGGGCGTCGGGAGGCTGGTCAAAGCGAAAAAAGGAAGAACATTCTGGAAGAGAATATTGGTGACACGGCGAGAAGAATCCAAAGCTGTATTGGTGACACGGCGAGAAGACATTTCTGGTGAGGCAACTGTACAAATCCAAAGCTGTATTGTTGGGCTGGTGAAAGAAAACGGTTGAAGAAATTTGGTGAGTGACAGAGATATCATCGAGAGGCGAGACAAGTTTTTTTGCAACTTGGCTGGCAGAAGGCGCTGTGCCAGAAAAGAGAAGTGGAGAGCAGCACTGACCAATTTTGTTTTAAAGACCTCTTGTTGGTCTAATTGGAGAGTAGGAAATAATTTGAAATTTAACAGATTGTGTGCCTGCAGTCGGACTGTTGTGTCAACAGCTTAAGTTAACATAGTGTTAAGTTTGACATTCATTTCACATTAACTTAGAGTAAAGTAAAGTACAGTTTACAGTTTGAAAGTCCAGTATATATATAAAAACTTAACTTTGCCGTGCAGGCGGATTTGATAAACATTTTTGTATTTTGTAAGCACTATATTTTATATCCTTATATTCTATAATTATATTTAAGTAAAAATGAACAAGCAAGAGATTTTGGCACTGCTTGTGGCAGAATTGCGCGCTAAGTTGTCAGAGCTAGGTCTTAGTACAACCGGAAGAAAAGGCGAATTGCAAAACAAACTACTTGCTCACTATGGTTTGCAAACTGATGAAAACGATGAAGTTGCGATTGAAGTGGATGATGATGAGGATTGATCTTTTACATCAGTGAATTCAGACAATTACCAGGCAGGTGCAGGTGCAGGAAATGGTGCGCCCAGGGAAAATCAAATTGTAAGCGAACAGAACAGTCGAATTGGAAATGCGAACACAGGTAGATCGTGGTTTACATTAAAGGATGTAGAGGGGAGTGTGTCACAGTTTTCGGGAACTGATTCACCTGACATTAATCAGTGGATCGAGGAACTTGAAGAGTGTGCACTTACGGTTGAATGGAGTCAGTTGCAGGTGTTTATATATGCAAAACAATTACTCAGCGGAGCGGCTAAGCTTTACGTTCGTAGTCAGCGTAAAATTGGCGATTGGGGCTCACTGAAAGCTGCATTGCTAGAAGAATTTGGGGTTAAAGTTACATCGGCAGAGGTTCATCGTAGACTTGGCAAGCGACAACAAAAGAAAACCGAAACGTTACAAGAGTACCTGTACGCGTTAATGGAATTGGCGAAGCCAATTGATTTAGACGATGAAAGCTTGATCGAATACTTTGTCGACGGTATTCCAGACTCGAAAGGAAACAAGGCTTTACTTTATCAAGCCAAGAAGCTAAAGGAGCTGAAAGTTCAAATCGAGGCATATCAGAAAATGCGAGGATCGGTGAAGCACGTCTAGTATGATTCTCACTTTTATAAAGGTGAAAAGGAGACAGTGAAAGCAGTTGAGAAGGTTAGGAAATGTTTTAACTGTGGTGATGAGTCTCACATCAAGAAGGATTGTCCAAAGAGAGACAACAAGTGCTTTAGGTGCAACCAGCCAGGACATAGAGCAGCCCAGTGCAAGGTTGAGCTAGAAACTAAACAGGAAAAGGCAACTAATCTAGTGCAGATGGAAGGCAGGGTGAAGCCAACAAGCACGTTCACGTCTTCGGGATTGGAGTTGAAGCATGTTTCGTTTGGGAAAGTAACCTTCAAAGGATTAGTAGATACAGGAGCAGACTTGTGTTTATTGCGACGCAACGTTTTTATAAGGCTCGGAGTAGAAAACCTAACAGGAGGTGAAAAATGTTTGACAGGAATTGGGGAAAGCCAAATTGTGACTTTTGGAAGCCTGATAATACCAGTGCAGATTGATGGCATCAATCTCAACGTTGAGTTCCACATTATATCGGACGAAGACATGGCATTTGATGCAATTTTAGGTAGAACTCTTCTAGATAGTGTCGATATGAAAGTGACAAAGGACGGAACCGAGTTGGTTCGAAGATCAGACAGTCGGGTCGGTAAAGGACAAAAGTTTGAAGTTCGTGAGAAAGAGAAAAACGGAAGTTCATGCTCAGAGCTGCTGAATGAATTTCAGAGTTTGTGTATGATGACCATGGAGCAGGCAGAAAGCAAGCTAGAGGTAGACATTTTACATTTGCCGCACTCGCAGAGAGGTGTTGTGAAACGCATGATAGACGAATACAAACCAATTAGGAATGTTCATTGTCCAGTCGAGATGAAGATTTTATTAAGCGATGATTTGCCAGTTTTTCAGCATCCTCGACGTATCGCTTTTAGTGAACAAAAGGTAGTTGACGAGCAGGTTCAGGAGTGGCTTGAACAAAGGATAATCAAGCCCAGTACTTCAGAGTACGCTTCTCCGATCGTACTCGTGGCAAAAAAGAATGGCCAGAAGCGATTGTGTTGTGACTATCGCAAATTGAATGAGAAAATAGTGAGGGAAACTTTTCCTAAGATACAGATGGACAACGTGATTGAGAAGTTACAGGGAGCGACAATTTTTACGACACTGGATTTGACCAACGGTTATTTTCATGTTCCGGTAGAAGTAGGCTCCCAAAAGTATACCTCATTTGTTACACAGAACGGACAGTACGAGTTCTTGTATGTGCCGTTTGGCATTTCAAACTCGCCGGCAGTTTTTACGCGTTTTATAATGGCAGTTCTCAGGGAGCTCATCAAAAACGGTGACGCAGTGGTTTACATGAATGACATTATCATCCCAAGCAGTGATGTCGTAGAGGGAATACAAAAGCTGCAAAGAGTTCTTGAGGTCGCAGAACAGAACGGGCTGAAAATCAATTGGACCAAGTGTCAAATTTTGCAGAGCAGGGTAGATTTTCTAGGATATATCATCGAAAATGGTTCGATCACACCCAGCGATGAGAAAACACAGGCCGTAGCAAACTTTCCAGTGCCGTCTAATCAAAAAGCCATATAACGATTTCTTGGTTTGACATCATATTTTAGGAAGTTTGTGGATGGATACGCAGTAATAGCTAAGCCATTGTCAGATTTGCTGAGAAAGGATGTAAAGTTTGAGTTCAAGGAGTTACAGCAGGTAGCATTCGAGCAATTAAAGACAGCGTTGACTAGCAAACCAGTTTTAAAACTGTACAATCCTAGATTGGCTACAGAAATACATACGGATGCGTCGAAGTTTAGTTTTGGGGCAGTTCTTCTACAAAAGGATCCAGAGGATGGACATTTACACCCTGTCATGTACATGAGTAGAAAAACTAAGCCTTGTGAAGAAAAATATCACTTATACGAGTTGGAGGTCCTAGCAGTCATAGGAGCTTTGACAAAATGGCGAATTTATGTTTTGGGAACGAAGTTCAAAATCATCACGGATTGTAATGCGTTCGCCATGACGATGAAAAAGAAAGAAGTTCCGTTGCGAGTGGCTAGGTGGGCAATGTATCTGCAAGACTACGATTAAGAGATAGGACATCGATCAGGTACAAAGATGAGGCATGTAGACGCACTGAGTCGAGTAGCTTGTTTTGTGTTGACTGACAGTGTAATGCACAAGTTGAAGGAAGCTCAGGTGGCAGACGAGTGGACAAAGGTAATCAGGAATCTAGTTGAAACAAAGGGGCATGAGGATTATTACATCGTCAATCAAATATTGTTTAAAAACCCAGACAGAGAGTTGATTGTAATTCCATCTCAAATGAAGACTGAGATTATACAGATTGCTCATAAGCAAGGTCATTTTTCGGCAAAGAAAACACAGGAGCTGGTGGAGAAATCCTATTTCATTCCAAAGTTGAGGGATAAAGTAGCTAAAGTTGTAGGCAGCTGTATGGAGTGCATCTTGGTTAACGCAAAATCCGGAAAACAGGAAGGATATCTAAATCCTATCGATAAGGGGGACAAACCTTTAGTCACTTATCACATAGATCACGTAGGGCCGATGGAGATCACCAAGAAAAGATATAATCATATCATAGTAGTTGTCGATGCATTTTCAAAATACGTTTGGTTGTATCCGACGCGTAGTACTGGAGTTGAGGAGGTGCTAAACTGTTTAGACAGGCAGGCCATAATATTTGGAAATCCCTTCAGGATCGTGTCAGATCGTGGTGCAACTTTCACATCGCACTTATTCAAGGAATACTGCGAGAAAGAGAAGATCCAGCACAAAGGTAACCCCGTTCAAGTTGCTAACAGGTGTGGACATGCGTGTAGTTGACATTGCAGAACTCAAAGAACAGGTGCAGCAGTCTTTGATAGAAGAGTTGGACGAAGAGCGTGAACAGATACGCAAACAAGCCAGGGAAAACATTCAAGCTTTACAGGAGGAGAACAGAAGAGCTTTT